ACTATGGGACTAGGGGCTACTCAGGAGGTGGCCATGAATATATTTAAAGGACTTAAGAACAGCTCTACATATGATTCTGGTTCCGATGACTCTATGGCTGACATTGGCGCTTCCATCAACATCCTGAGTGTGATGGCCGTTGGATCAGAAAATGTTGACTTGCAAGAGGAGGTCTTTCCTGTGAGCCCCCAATGATTATTATTATTATTTTAACTGTTATACATGTGGAGTTTTGAGCTCCAAAATATTCTCAACACAAAGTCCTACTCAGGACTAGATGGAGCTGCTCAGTTGTCATGGAGATGCTCTAGTTGTTATCACGTCACCTCAGTATGAAATTTCGGTCATGTGATAGCAGGTGGTCGTACGGGGTTCACAGCGTCAAGTTCACATGCGAATAGGAAAAGGGAAAGGATCGTATGGTCCTATGATCATATGGTTTTTTTTATGGCAACCCAGGATCCTATACAGATGATAACACCTTGGTCAGGGTCACTCTTGGGGTCCACTCTAGGCCAGACACTGCCAACTAATTTCCTGTCACAAAACATCCAACATCTCTGCTGGTGCATCGAAAAGAGGGGACGACCCCCACAGGGGAAAACTGTGATGTGACCTCACAGTGTGACAGATATGAGAACCACTGCACGGTTAGGGACAAGTGACTGAATGAACCCCAGAAACAGACATCATCAGCTGTCTGTGAACACAGTCAAAGGTCATCGACCAGGATTGAGTGGATAGCTGGAGCAAGATGAAGGGGGGCCATTCACATCCAAAGACCATCTTTGAACAGAGACAGGGGATACAGATTTATGACCACATTTCCATACTAAGGTCATAACAACTGAACCATCTTCATGACAAGTTCACAAAATGTGGTTGAAAGCTGCAGACGTTAGTTAGACCTTGTGCTGAGAATTTTATTTATTTATTTATTTTCTAGGTTTAAAGTGATTCTGATATATCGATTCTAAGAAACAAACATTTTGGAGAAGCAAGAAAAATGTGCTTCAGCTTCTGATTTTTTTTTTTTTAAATAATAATTTTTATTCTCTTTCAGGATTTTGTTGATGCAGCGAGCAATATGTTGAACAAGAGCTGGGATGGGGTCAACTCGTCTACTACTCATAACATGTCATCAGATTACCTTCAGTCTGTGGAGGGTCTGGTGAAAAATATCAAAGTGAAAAGTCCCGGTACAATCCCTCGTCAAAACTTAGACCTGAAATTCTGCTCAGGCGGTAGCTGTAACGTGTCCGCGTTTGACATCAGCGTGAATTTAAACAAGTCCTCAGGAATAATGAAAACTGTTGCTGTGAAAAATCTTATGGATAAATTGAGAAACAACTTCCACAGGACGAGAACCACCAGCCTCCTACTATCAGCCACACTGCAGGACAGCAACGACACGGCTTTAGAAATCACACTGGACTTCCCCATCGAGAAGATGAAATCAACAATACCTTTGTGTGTTTTCTGGAAAATCGAAGACAGGGAATGGTCAGGTGAAGGATGCGTCGTTAAAAGCAGTGACGGTAACCGTACGCGCTGTGAGTGCAACCACCTGACGTCATTCTCTGTCCTCATGGCCAAGAGCGACATATCTACTGAAATCCTGGATATGATTACCTACGTGGGCCTGGGTGTGTCCGTCTGCTCCTTGCTGATCTTCCTCATCATCGAGTCTCTGGTGTGGTCCGCTGTGGTGAAGACCAACCTTTCACACTTTCGCCACACAGCGATAGTGAACATTGCCGTTTTCCTCTTGCTCGCTGACTGCTGCTTTTTGGCTTCCTCCTTTCCTGAGACGATCTCTGAGTCCACCTGCCTGGTTCTCACCATATGCAAACACCTGTTTTTCTTGGCCATGTTCAGCTGGATGCTGTGCATGAGCGTAATGCTTGTCCACCAACTCATCTTTGTCTTCAGCCCACTGAGGAAAAGGGTCTTCATGTTCCTCTCCAGCATTGTCGGTTATCTTTGCCCGATTCTGATAGTGGGATGCAGCTATTTGTATTCCAAATACACCGACAAACCCTACCACAATAAGGACACGTGCTGGCTGATTTTTGAAAGAGTCTTGGAGGGTTCTGTGCATGCGTTCCTCCTCCCTGTGGGAACTGTTATTTTGACAAATGTCTTCTCCATGGTGGTTGTCATTGTTACTCTGATGAAGTCCTCGGTCCCCGACGGCAAGTCAGATGAGAAGGAGACGATCAAAAGCATCATTAAAGTGGTGGTCTTTCTAACACCTGTCTTCGGAGTGACATGGGTCATCGGCTTCTTCCTACTCATATTAGATGGTGACGATCCCATGTTTCATGTTGCCAACTACAGTTTCACCATCCTCAATTCCTTCCAGGTAATTTGAAAGCAACCCACACACTCAAGGTTAATGTTGATATCAACAATGTCAGTCTCAGCCGCAGGTCATTCATCCACATACATCCATCTAAACATAAATCTGAAAGCAGAAGAGTGAATGAGAAGAAAAACATTGGACTGCTGTAAGTCCTGACGTTGATCAAACTGAACATCTATGGAAAGAGCTGAAACTCACAGTTAGGACAACGCACCAATCAAAGCTGAGAGAACTGGAGCAGGTTGTTGTGGAAGTGTAGCCCCATCTGTAGATTTTGATCCTATTTTTAAAACTAGTTTGAAACTGGTATCGTACATACAAAAGCTGACTGCTCAAAATTTTAATTCAACATAAAAATTCAAAATGGGTGATCCCCATGTAGGTCCTTTATAGTTGACGTGAATGTGTAAGAAAACTTTAAACTTAAACACAGAAAGGAAGGGAAAGATCAGATGATGGTTAAATCTATAGATATTTCTGAAAAACATCGTTGGTGGCACATTTTTAAACCTCAATCTATAACCCCAACCTCTACAACCTCACACCTCGCACTGTGTCAGTTTTTCAAACCAAATATAAAAAGCAGAGCATAAAAACACAGTTTGAGGTCGGTGACGCTGATGTCTTCTCTTGCAGGGCCTTTTCATTTTGGTAACAGGGTGTATTGCAGAACAAAAGGTAGGTTTGTCATTTTTATCAATGGGGAGATAAGTTTTATCAATGTCAATATGTCCATTGATTTCAAACAGTTTTCAAACAGCAACAGAATTATGCAGGATAGTGCACCAAGACTACAACACTGTATTAATGCCTTTGTGCTGAAATTCTTCCTGGAAGTCCTGTGCCGTGGTTTGATGCCTGGGGGCCCAACAAAATGTTCCTTTCTGCCCAATTGATAAACAACAATAATAAATAATAAATCTTTTGTTTTATTATTTAACAGGTTCGAGACGAACTGTTCAAGATCATAATGGTGAGTTCACCTGTCAGGTCTATTCAGAATTTACACCACAGTACGATGAAAATATGCATCATGACTCTGTTTGTTTCTACCCTCAGGCAAAATCAAAAGGAAAGAGTGACAGCACGAGGAATTTGAATTCAACCACATACACAAAAGAAAAATGAGGGGCTGAACAAAGGTCAGTCTTATTATATTGTATTCCTATTTACTTGTGCATCTTCCCTAACACATACTGTTACGTTTCAGGCCTGGAGATGGATTCAGGCTGGAGGGCTGCTGGTTGGGTTGGTGCTCTAGCATTTGTATGAAGCGTCTGTCATTCACAAAGCAGTGTAGACACACAGTGTAGGAATAGGTAGAAACAGCCCACACCATCAGGAGCCCCATTCAGGAGGTTGTGGGGCAACAACGGTGCAATGTATACTGTCTTTATGGGAGGTTTAAGGGGGTGTATAGTTAGCATTGCAGTGTGGTAATATGAGGGGCCATCAGGGGCCCCTTTTCCACTGGTGGGCCCCAAGCATGGATTACCTCTCCTGACGTAGAGGCTTATGGGAATGTCAATAGTTTTCTACCCACCACCGTTGCCATGGGGAAGAAGTCAGTCAGAGGTGTGAATCAGAGCAGTTTGTTGTTGCAGGTTGAGCTTAATTGATTTAAACTGCAAATTTTTCAGTTTTTTCAGCACCCAAATCTTAAGCTTCTACCTGCCACTGGTGCCGCACTGCACCTTGGGAGTCGTAGTTAACTTCCCCACCAAAGTTTTTATGTTCACAGGTTTGCACCTTCGACTTTTTGTCAAAGAACCAGATATCTCCTAAGAGGTTTATAATATCTAATACTGAGGATTCAGTCAGATGAGTTTAATATTGATCCAAGAAATAGAAGTGCTGCAACTATGATGTTACACATTGTCTATGGGAAACATGAATTGGAATTTGCACTTCTTGAACCAGGAGCGCTCACTCAAAACTACAAGTGCCAACGTCACGGTGGCGCCAGGAATCACGAAAGTCATCAGGATTCATCTTCTGAGAATGATAAATGTCTGTACAAAAACTAGTGTCAATCCATCCAAGTGTTTTTGAGATGTTTCACTGGATACGTTTTGTGCTTTTGTGACTATAACACATGTTGTGCGGCAAGGTCCAATGGCAGATGCTGCTGCAATAACCATAGCAACCAGCATCTTATCAGGTTTTTTTGGTGTGTGTGTGTTTGTGAATCCAGTTTATAAATGTTCTACATAATGCGTCGTCTCTACATTTCAGATTGTGCAGACAGAAACAGCAGCTTACATGTACATGTATGCAGCTCCACATGCAGCCGACAACAAGAGAACATGACTTAGAGTTTACTTTGTGTTAGAATACAGTTCCTAGACTGTTACTAAGGTGAAGGTGGTCGTAGCAAAAGATTGATTATGAACTAAAGCTTATTGAATAGAACACTGATGTTTTTAATATGTTATGCATTGTAGCTGACTTCAAGCGCTGACTATATATAGAACAAAAAACATATTTCTTAATGTGTCTGACTTGGTTTGACAATTTTATTTCGAAAAGAGAGTCTGTGAATGTACGCTATTTGACCTGAACCATAACCTGTATACTATGTGTGCCACTATAACCACTATATGTATCTCAAAATACGCAGTGAAATAAAGACAAGGAATAGAAAGTCTTTTATTGTTCTTCACACATGCGATTTATATATTTGAATCCAAACGTACATTTTTCATAATACAGTTAATTTAGCAGACTACATGTGATTACTTTTAACATACAAATAAACCACTATGGTACACAGAGCTACTGATGCTGTCCTCCTGCATAATGTTGTTAGCTTGGGAGACATCATTTATAATATTTATATTATTTATAATATTACAAGAGTAAAGTCATAATTTAGAGAGAAAAAAAACATTTTTAGGAAAATTACAAGTAATCTTTTCAACGTCCTGATGCAGATGATGTTGTGATGCTGATGTGCCAAAAGATGACGTATCTCCTTATTTGTGAAACCTATGCTAAAGTATAACTTCACAGGACGCTCCAAGTTCCTCATTTTAAAGCTTAAGGTTAGTGCAGCTAAATTTTAAAAGTCAGCCCTGTATTAATTTGCATTTTTGGGGGGAGGTCCAGATTTGAAAAGCCTTACCTTTAGGCTCTTTCTCAAACAGAAAACTACAAATCTTTTAATGTGTACCAGCGATCAGCCCAGGATCCATTTGCATATTTCCCTCTGGTATTGGCACTACTTTTGCTGTGATTTCACTGCTGTAAGAACGTAGAGGACACAATAGTCCGTTTCACTGGGCTCTCCTAATGACGGTGAAGATGGCCAGTGTAAGAACCACCATCCCGGCTGCGCCACCAACCAGAGCTCCCAGAATGCTTCTGTCCATGTTCAGTCGCTCACATGTTTTGCCACTGTAGTAGGTGGTCTGGGTTGTTGCACACCTGAAAAGCAGCAGCACACACACATTCATTTTTATTGTGAAATATAATTTCATAATGCAAGCTAAATTGCTTTCAAATAAATACGCATCTTGAAACCTTTAATTATTTCATTATTTTTATCCACATGTACTGTGTCACCTGACAGGAAGGAGGAATAAGCTCACCCATTAACACAGTGCATTTCATTTGTTTAATCAACACAAAAACAGAAATGTGTAAAAGAGACTGTGTGTGGTTTTACAGGAAGTCATGTGATGTAACTGATCGTGACGACGAGAATCTGGAAAGTCGCCACTGCAGGTGCTGTCGTCAACAAATAGTTACTCAATAAATTCGCCCCATAAAACCACAAATTGTGAATGTTACGTTTCTGTTTGTGGATAAATTAAACAAATGAGTTTCAACATTTTAATTAGTCAGCTTTAAATGTGCTTGTAGGCGTAAGTTTTTGAATTTGGACAGAGGCAGGCTGGTTGTTTCCCCTTGATTCCATTTCTTCATGCTAAGCTTTGCTAACCCCTTTTTTCGAGGCGTGAGTTGAGAAATACCTTAATGTTTTATTTTTAATCATGTCTAGATTTGTTAGAATATATCCATAATGGTCAAAGTAATGCTGAGAAATCGTGTTAATTACTGAGCTTAGCGTTAGCTGTGCTCCTAGGCTTATTTTTCAACTTTATTCTAAGCTAAGCTAATCGATTCCTGGCTCTAGCTCTATACTAGAGTTATGAGTATTGAGCTTCTCATTTAACTGCTGGCAAGAAAGTGAATAAGTGTATTTCTGAAAAATGGGAACATCTGAATACAGCCTCTGTCTAATGTAATTTAGACCTTCTCCAAGTGACCACAGGAACAAAATTTGTTGGATATCCACTCTTTCAAAAGCACAAACACACACCTGCATGATGCTTCCCCTTCACTCTCCACACACACGCCTCCATTAAAACAAGGGTTGGGATAACAGGGGTTGGCAGCTCGTGCTTCTCTGTGTTTTGGAGCCTCCGGCCTCACTTCCACCTCACTGATTGGCTCCTCCTCATCTGTGATGTCATCAATCAGTGCAGCAGGTTTGACAGGCACCTCAGTCTTGATCAGGTGGGTCAAATCTAACAAAACAAGACTTCAGTATGTAAGAAAAAGAATTTGATTTTTGCGTAATAGAATAATTTCCACTTCTCACCATTGAATTCAGCAGTGATGATGAGGTCATTGTTCTTGAGGAAGCTCCTTCTGTGCAGATGCTTGTGAGACATGAATGTGCTCCAGCCAAAGTCGTCGCCGCGGTAACACTTGCAGCTCTCATCAAACACTGCCCCTGAAGTAGCTGTTGGCTTGTTCCAGCGGGCGTGAGTGCCTGAGGGGGAAAACAGGCAAGAAATACACTCAGCACGTTATCAGTTTGTCTTTGTTCAGTACGAGAAAACTGCACCTGAGCGGTGCTGTTACTTTATGTCATATACTTGTGCTTGAAACAACATGTCATGGTGACAGATAACGCAGAGATGGATTGTTCAAACTTAACAGGTTTGGTCAGAACAAACAGAAAGGTGTCAGAGGCGTAGTACGATATGTTGGAATCAAGGTTATTATTATCAACTAAAACAAGCTAAATAACGAAAACTAGATGTGAAAAAATATCTTTAATATATTAACAAGGTTTTATATGAAAAAAAAAATCCATAGCTAGCTGAAACTGTATTGTGTGTTTTCGTCTTTGTCGGTTTATTTCTTAAGAGGTATCAAATTTCAGTTAATGTTTTTATAATTAAGGTGAACCAACCCCTTTCATCCTGCTAGTAAAGTTTGAGTTTCTTCAACGGTCTACCTGTGGTGAAGCTTCTTGTAGAGGACATCCTCAGTTTCACATCAGGGTCCTGATCCACGGCAACGATGGTCGCCTGCCTGTTTTCAGCTGGCCACTGCATCACTGCGTCATTTTCCCCACTGCAGAGATGCAAGCTCATGCCGACGTACTCTGGGTAGACACTGTCTCGTCCATTCGGGTAAACACTGATGCCGAATGAGTAGCCCTCCGAGTTGTAGAAGCACTTGCTTTTCACTGGACTGCCAGCAGGAGTGGTGTCGAGGAGGCTGGTGAAGTTGTGGATTTGCCAGACAGCACTGGGGCAACTAGTCTCTGTAAGAGTGATGTCATCGATTAAGATGGCGCCCGAGGAGTTGGATGAACCTCTGATGCCTTGGAAGAAATAGCGAAACTTCTCTGTCACCTTGAGAGTCACGTGGGCTATTTTCCAGGAGTCATCTCCATCACCTGAGAGACAAAAGGCAGGGGAATCTGTTACCTACTCAGTACTGCAGTTTGTGTTTTAAATGAGTCTTACAATCATGGAACCCAACCCAACCACTACATGGAAAGAATGAAATATTTAAAGGTCCCATATTTTTAACTTTTCAGGTATTTTATTTGATGTTTCAATATCCATAAGAACATATATTTGTATGTAAACTAATGCAGTTTTACATCTCCTCTCTCAGGCTTCTCTCTAGTAATAACAGGTCAGTGAGCCAATCAGAACAGAGGAGGCTCTGAGCCTCTCTTGAGATTGGCTGACTGTTTACTGAGTGATCTAATAAAAATATAGCAGATTTCAGGAAAACACTCAGAGAAACCAAATCTTGCAAGGTTGGACGCCGTGTCCAGGTGGGCGGGGCTTGGGGCATGACTAATAACATTGACTGCTCTGTTGTGACATCACAAGGTTACAGAAGTCCTGATGGCTGGTTTTAAGGCTCAGTTTCTGAATACAAGCTGTGTTCATTTCTCTGTGGACTGAGGCTTTGATACTTTCACAGTATTAATATAGAAGCTAGACCTGCTTTGTAACAAGAAAAGACATAGAGATCTACCTTTATACAATATGGGACCTTTAAAAAAAATAAAATAAACCCTGAAAAATAAGCTTTCCAGCAGTCCAATGCTCAGTGTATGGAAGTGTTAACTCATTGATGACAAAGTACCAGTGATGGTGTGGATTTTCCTGACGCTGCGCACGTTCCCTGTGCCATCATCAGTCCTGATCCATATCACCAGTTTGTCCCCAGCTTCTCCGGTCATCTTGTAGAAGAACTGCAGGCACTGTTCGTCTCTTTTAGGGTAGAGGATACGTGACTCCAGCAAGGCACTGCTGCCAACTGCACCAGAGGACGTGTCAAACTTCATGAAGTAGCCAGCATCTGAAAACAGAAGCAGTGATCGGTGCATATTTTGGTAATGAGCCTTTTCACAGTCTGGTCACAGGAGGAAAAGCGCTGGTGTGAATAATACAATTATCCAGAGGTGGTTTGAATTTTATTCAGCTGTTTCAGTTTCAGTGTCCTGGTATTGTTCATGCTGACTCACTATCACACTGTCATGCCTTACTGGGACACTTGAATAGAACAGAGCCATTATTAATGTAATTAGCTGTACTTTTCCACTATTTAGCAGCTTTTCTTGCTAAGTCAGAGTGTCTGCCCTGTAAAGAAATATTTTGCATTAAATAAATACAAGTATTTTAACCTCCATATGGATATGTTTTCTTCTAGGATTGAATTGAGCTTTACTGTTGCTATACCTTTGTTTATGACCTAGAAAATGTGCTCAGTACCTCTGCAGCGCCCCACCAGGGTGTGATCAGTATCAGCTGGACTGCTCAACGTCTGGACCCAGTCTGCGTTGTCTTGCTCGTTCTGGATCATCCCACAGATGTTGATCAGCTCAAATGAGCACTGGTCCAGGAGAGTGTGTGTACTGGCTGCAATAGGACAGTTATCAACAGTCAATCTACAAAGCTGAAATCACCACCTGCCTGTAAAAATATGACTTCAGCTAAGACAATAATGTAAATAAGGCCTGGCTTCCCTAACCTCCATTTATGGTTCCAGTGTTACCTGCAATAGTTCATGTCAGAACATGTTAAAGGAGCTATTTCAACATAGCCAACGTTAGCGTTTACAGCTGTTTACTTACCAGTCTAGAAGAAAAATTGTGAGTTCAGAATCAAACTTCATTCCTTTCACTTCATTACTTTTTTACTTAAGTTAGCATGCTAACCAGCTAGCCCTGGCCCATCTCACCAATTTCCGATACCGAGTCACTGTAGTATCCAGTCTGCCCTGAAGAAGTAGTACTGCTCACAGGACGTATTATAAACTGTTGTCATGTAAACGCAACAATGGCTGAAGTTCTTGAGAAGTAAAAAAGTAAACAGCTAACGTTAATGCTAACGTTGGCTAATTAGGAATAGCTAAGCTGACAAATAGCTTCCAGGAGCTTATTGTCCAGTATAAAAAGTGGATTATTAGTGATATTGCTATTATTATTTGAGTCAGTCAATGTGGCTACATTGGCTATAATAGTGAGAAATACACAATTAGTCACTTTATACCAAATAATACTTAAAGGACGCCCAGGACATGGTGTTAGTCAGTCGAGCTATCTTCACTGTGCACTTTGTTTTCAATGAAGAAATGTTGCACATCACATTTTTGAATGACCATGCAACTTTTGTTTTAATAGCATATAATATTAACACATGATGAAGGAAAAAAGACTGACATATTCTGATCAGCCGCTGTGGCTATTATAACAGTGATCCTGGCAAAGTGAGAGACAACTGATCTGTTTAGTGCCACTATGTAAATAGCTGTGAACCCTGTCTGTTATATTATAACACTGGTTAGATTTTTTGCTTAAATGCAAATACTAGGTGATCACACACAGCAGCTGTCAGTCTACACAATGACACAGTATTACTTTCAGTTTGAACACAAAGCTATAGCACTTGTTTCTTACTTGAAACACATACGGACAATGCACCCAGCTGACACAGAGCAAAATTAGCATTTATTTACGGGTGTATTTTTGGCCACTTCATGAATGTTTGTCAAATAAGCACTTGTTTTTAACTCTGTTTTCATGTCCAAAAACTCCTGAGAGATATATCTGGCTCTTCCCTATGTTCATCGGCTCGACAGCGAGACACTCACCACAGTCGTACATGCGGTTGAGCCTGATGAGGTCAACAGCACTGAAGTCCAGCCGCTGGCCAATGACCTCATTAAAATACGGTATGGTGGTGGTGATTGTGGGGATGCTCTCGTTCTTGTTGAAAGACAGCGGCCTGTAGTGCATGATGGACTCGTAGTCATACGGCGTGTTCAGATCAGTGACAAAGTCGTCCTCGTACTTATTGAAGTTGTGCTCCCTCCCTGTGAGGAGAGAGTAGCTTTGTCACTGACCAGGTGTAGGTGTTTTGTTGGACCTACAAAAGAAAGGTCCAGAGGAAGCTACCGACTGGTCCATATGGTGAGACTGTCTTGGTTAACAATAATTTCAGATCCATTAATATCAAACGGGAAATTTTCTTCTTATGTTACATACTCAAAAAAATGTAACAGAGTTCGGTTGGTTGCTGGTTCGGGACCTCAGTGTGTCTAAAACTGTGTCCCTGAATGAAACAAAGATGAAATAATATTGACCCACCTTCTTCAATCTGGTCCCACCAGATCTTCACATAGTCGTCTCTGTCTGAGCGAGACTGTTCGTGGTAAAAGCCCAGAGCGTGGAGGAGCTCGTGCTCCACAATGGCCTTAGTGTCACACCTGGCCCCAATGGACACATTCTGCCCGGTTTTATCATCTCCAACATATGACCAGCATCTGAATTGATAAAATGGCAAAATTCAACAGTAAACCTAAGGCACTGTTACTGTGTAATGACCTTTAAATGACATTTCATCAAACCAGCAGTTCCTAATCTTTGGTTCTTAATTCCTTGAGTTTGATGACTTGACAGTATGACCCATAAAAGTTGTGCAACAACCAAGATTTCTGAGTCAATCTGGCACACTGCAGCTCACCCAGAGAGCTTGGTGAAGGAGATGTGGCTGCTCTCTCCCTCGTACGGCTTGAAGTCCACGCAGGATCTCAAACGGTACTCCTCAAAAGCCTGGAGGATCACACCTTTAGCATTCAGATCTGCAGTAATAGAAAGGAATTTCCCAATCAGTAAATGTTTTACCCATTCATCAAATTTCGTCTTGATAGAAATGTTCTCCGCGGCGTACCTAAAGAATCAGTCAGGATGTAGGGGATGGGAAACTTCCATCTTCTTGTTTCATCGAGGATTGCATTTCTGCTGGGCTGCAAGACACGTTGAGAATTCACAGAATAAATACTCTCATGTTCCTGACAAACATAATCTCCACACAGGCTGTATACTTACATTACCAGCGATGTCTCCCTCAAACAGGTGTTTTAAGTCTGAAAATGTGGAAAATCAGTATCAGAAACCAGAAATTCAGAATAAATGAATATCAGTCAGCAAAGTATGTGATCAGAGAGTTTTAAAAAGTGTACCTCTGTTGATGTCAAGTATGTCGTCCCTCAGTTCACCTGCATCTGCATTATCACCTGGAGGAAACACAATTATTTTTTTGTTAAAACTGATGAGTAACAAACAAAGAGCTCATTTTATGTGTGTGTGCTCAGTAAAGTTAATAGGAACCAACCGGTAAATGTCGGAACAGCTTGCACCTAACACACAAAAAGAGATATTTCTTACTCTAAACCATCCACAGAGACAATTTTTCAATTGCTGTGATTGTGATTTCAAATGAAATTTCAAATACTCCCTACCGTCAAAACCGCAAAGACTCCAACCAGCACAGCGATCATCCTCAGACCGTCTCCAGAGCCCATGTCGTTATTCCAAGAGCGGCGTGTTTCCTCAGTGCCACTGTCAACATGTCCATGAAGACAGCGGCTGCAGAGGAACTTTGATCAGGATTATTGTGTTCAATCAGTAACAAACATTTCGCACGTGTCTTGGCCGTCTCTCTCACCGCTGACATGCTGTCAGGTGTTCTCTGGCGCGCACAGGTAATGACAGCAGTAAACAGTTCACCCTGTACAGATGCAACAACAGCTTCGTAAGAGCTGAGCTAGAGTACAATAAAACAGGCAATAATGCTGTTTATGGGTTATGGCAGCTTGAGTCAGAGTCATATCCTCATGGTGCTAAACTTGTAGAGTAACTTCAATCCACCTGTAGTGATGTTTTATAACCGTGATGATGCCTTCAAGACTGTTCTTGGCTAGAGAGTGAAGATTTTAATAAAGTGCTGATAGTTCAGTCCGTCATGCCGTGATATCTCTAATGTTTGATAAGGGTCTATATTACTTTGCACTTATCTTTGAAATACTGCGCTGTTATGTATCAGATGTCCACACAGCTGATTTAGTTGATATTAAAGGATCACTTTAGCTATTTATTATTGCACATGTATAAAGTTCAGGGACTTACAAGAGGCCGAGGTGTCCTGACTTTTAGCTCCTAGTGTTGTTCTAAGTCTCTAAGTCCTGTATCCTGCACCTGGTGGCTTGATTTTGTTATATTTTTGTTATAATGCCCACGAGCCTTGGGCTTGTAAAGCATGCTTTCTGTCATAAATCTGTCGTCTCCGAGCTCAAGCCGAGATAAAACTGACGACATCCTCCGAGTTTTGGTTTCTCAGACTTGACAAGGTTCCTCCAGACATGGTACAACTGTTAACATCAGATGAGCGGCAGTTTTCAGTATAACTTTAGTTTGATTAGGTAATGTAATTGAGATTAAGATGTCTTTTGCAAGAGAGACCCGAGTACACAAAACTGAACTTTTGTGGGAATTTGTAAAATATCTGGGGGAAAAAAATGATTTGCCAATTTTTTGTCTGTAATCGTAGGTTGTTGTTTTTTGGGCCTTATTGGCTCATGAAAATAGTGACGTTCAGTGATGTGAACATTGTCAACTTCTCCAGCAGCAAACAGGAAAAATACAAAGTCCTATCAGTAATTTTAGGGGCAGATCATGTTCCTAACTTTATATGATAATAATAATAATCATAATAATGTTGAGGATTTAGAATTTCAAAGAGCGAAAAGTCATAAGTCTGTGACTTATGACACATTGTCTTAAGATGTGAGAGGGTGTCAGACTCTGTTGGTCATTATATAGTGATGGAACAAAAAAGAGAACATGCACACAGTGGTATGATATTTCATTATTTCTAACGAGACTACCACACTTTACAAAACTTCTAATCAACAATAAAAATAACTCAGTTTACTTTAATTCAAAAGACCTGCACTTTTAAATAATAATAAAGGGTTTCCTTGGTACTAGTGCTGCACTCCAGAATACTCTTGTTAACTCAACTCAACTTACCCCTTTGCACATAGACATTTATTGTATTACATCTACGTTTTTCATTGTTCTGTTTTTTTTGACAAATGAAAAACAAATATAAATAAATACAAGGTTGGCAATTTAAAATTTGAAGTAGAATTTCAGGGACTGGAATGGTCACTGGGTATTTTCATAAATGCACCACAAACCAAACGAAACACCACAGGCTTGTTCTTAGTTTGCTTTTTATTAAGACAACAGTTTAATGAGAAAGAAATGTGTTGTTTAAAATGATGATACACAACTTTTACATACAAATTATATACCACATATAACTTTAACATTTTATGCATCATGTGTGTAATTCTGACATTGTCTCGCAGCAGTAATCTTCCATCTTCACTTCATCTTCAAAGGTTTTTCTTCTCATGCAGCTGCATATGTTGAAAAAATAAAAATCACATTAGCTTCAGTACATACAGGTGTGATGAAATCCTCACAGGTGAAATTGAAATAGTGTCTAGTGTCTTACCTCCACGTCCTCATGATATAAATGCCTGCATGACCTTACTCCTTTGGCTTAATGGGAACTTCTGTTTTGATCAGTGACGTTATGTCTGTGGACGAAGATACTTGTTATGTCTGCTTCCTCACACGCTTCACAACATCACACATGAGGAACAGTATTATATGAAGCAATGCCACATGCAAATGTTAAACACAGATCACAAACCCTCAAAGTCGATAAAGATGATGAGGTCATCGTTCTTGAGGTAATTACGCCGCCGGAGGTCAAAGTGCTTGACGAAGTTGCTCCAGCCCCATGATTGACCTCTGTAGCAATCACAGGAAGGGTCATACCTCCCCACCTTGGAGGGATTGTCCCAAAACAGCTTTCCATCTGACACTAGAAGACACAAAAAGCCCGTGAAGATTGTCAGTCACCCAGGTCATGGTATTTCTAAGAGCTATACAAAGGCAAATTAACTTGTTTGAGGTACTTGAACACGTTTTCACTTCTCATCCAAAAGGCTTCTTCAGTTCTAACTGACGATAAGTGATGAGGAGTCACAGACATTTACAGACATCCCACCTCTTGTGGGATTGTTAACACCTTGACAGTGGTTTTGGCGCTTGTTGATTTTGTTTTCTTCACAGGATCAGTTGAGATTAAAATTGATGTGCATTTAATGTGCAGATTTTCAAATGTACACTATTGTTCTGCCTGTTTTTATGTGTGATGTCATGATAACACCCTGCTTTTGTCTAAATCCCTCTGGGGATAACAGATAAGGAGAACTTACTCGGCCTCATATCAGTAGTGAGGCTGCGAGCTGTGGACATCCTCAGCTTAATGTCGGGGTCTTGGTCCATCACCACCAAGGTGGCCTGTCTGTTTATCGCTGGCCACTGCATCACCACGTCATTCTCCCCGCTGGTCAGGTGGAAGAACAGCCCAGTGTAGTTCCCGGTGTAATCAGTGTAACTCGACAGAGGCATGACGCGGACACCGTAACCGTAGCCTTCAGGGCTGTAGAAGCGAGGGCTGTCGATTACTGTGTTTCTATCAGCCGTTTCCATGATCTGTGTGAAGTTCTGGATTCTCCACACGGCGTTGGGGCAGCGTGTCTCAGTCAGGCTGATGTCGTCGATGTAGATGCCACCGGCGGACGCGGAGGGGTCGCCGCGCACAGCTTGGAAAGCATAGCGGAACTTCTCCCCCATGTTCATCGGGACGTGGGCGATCTTCCATGTGTGGTCAGCATCAGCTGGATAACAGGGACAGGGACACGGTGATAAATCTTACTATGTGGCAATATTCATATATGAAGTAATGGGACGGTGAGGGAGTGAGGGTTTGTTTAAGATTATTCAGTACATGTTGTTAAGGAATAGTTTGACATTTTGGATTCCTAAGAAGCTGCAGGAAACCTGCAACAAACATAAATAAATACCATAAAAGGTCTGTATTTTCTTCATTTTACGAATGGTGCCTGTGCCGTCATCTATCTTGGACCAGATCACCAGCCTGTCCTTGGTGCTGCCAGTCATCTTGTAGAAGAACTGCAGACACTGAAGCTTCCTCTTGGGGTAGAGGGTTCGGGATTCCAGCAGAGCAGACTCCTGAGGCTTCCCGGCCATTGTGTTAAAGTGCATGAAGTAACCAGCATCTGGACGAATCAGACAAAATAAAACAAGCTCTTATGGCACGCAGATTAATTTTTTCTCATTTTCTTTCATGAGAATAAAGTAGTACATTTCCGACCTCTGCATTTTCCCAGGAGTGTGTGATCCTCTGCACCAACTCTGCTCTTTGTATGAACCCAGTCAGCATCATCAGAGGTGGCCTGGATCATCCCGCAGATACTGGCGTACTCAAAGGCACACTGATCCAGCAGGGTGAGAGGGCCAGCTGAGGTGGAGGAGGATGAGGATTTGTCAGGATCATACTTTCTAATGACTAAACTAAGAAAAACACAGAGGAAATTCACTCCGTCATATATGAAATATACATACAGCAGTTGTACATGCGGTTGAGCCTGAAGGTGTCCATCTTGCTGAAGTCGAGGTACTGGCCAATGATGTTGTAGAACTCTGGGATTTTGGTGGTGATGGTGGGAATGGATTCGTTCTTATTGAAGGAGAAGGGCCTGTAATGCATGACGGACTCGTAGTCATAGGCCGTGTTTTGATCAGTTATGTAGTCATCATTGTATTTGTTGAAGTTGTGTTCAAGTCCTGCAGGAAATACCATGTTGTTTTAATTATTCCTATCGCACAAAATGGTGTTACTCCCAATAATAAAACATTGTTTTTATAGAACATGAATGACAAAAGAAAAGGAAATTAGGGACGATGAGGATCCTAGATGTACCTGGTGAAACCTGATCCAGCCAGATGTCGACATAGTCATCCCTGTCTGTGCGGGACTGTTCGTGGTAAAATCCCAGAGCATGGAGTAGCTCATGCTCAATCACCGCCTTGTGGTCACATCCTGACCCCAAAGACAGAATCTGACCATTCTGCTGATCACCAACGCTGGAGAAACACCTACGACAAACCGAATAAAATGGAAAACAAATTGAATTTTTAAAGGAACACTCCAGTGATTCAGTATTGCGCTTCCACAAAGTTTGGGACTCATGAGAGACAATTTAAAATGCAAAAGTAGTCAAAATTGAAGAAGCAGAGGCCATGTTTTCTGGATTTTTAGTCCTGAGTATTGGTTCAACTCCCAAAAGGCCTGGATCTTACATTTCCCATAATGCAACAAATAGCATATTTTTGTTAGATGCACCTGACCTGGCAAAAGCGCACACCTTTTAAATTCCATGACCCAAGTCATAATTTAAGGCATGTCTTAGATCTTTGTTTTTGATTACACTGAGACTTTTAAAGTAACAATATGTCACTTTTGAGAGAAGAAATGCCACATCCTTGCTCTTACAAATAAAATGTTGATTTTCAGTTCTAGTTTTAGCAAAGTTATGCACACTGGGGAGAATTTTAATCAATGGCGCTGGAGATGTGGTTCCAAACAGAAAAACTAGAAGAAAGAAGAAAGAATAACAAAGCTGGAGCCATACCCCCCTCTCTTTTCAAACTTGATATAGGTCTTCTCTCCTTCATAAGGCTTGAAGTCGACACAGGACTTAAGCCGATACATTTCAAAAGCCTGGTGGACGCAGCCCTTGGCATTCAGATCTGAGGAGTGAGAGAAACAAACAGGAAAGTGTGAATGTGTTCTGTGACAAAACATCACATTCCTTCTTTCAAAATAAAAGCATTTTTGCTTAAATTCCAAGTGTGGCAAGACACTGACTCCTGATGGGGGTAATCAATATTAGGAATTCCAACAGTGTAAATTGCTTAAGATGAGTGCATCAGTTAGAAGTTGAAAATGCAGCCTTAACATCACTGTATTGTAACGCTGGGTCACACGTACAACAGTGAGACTTAGCAATTCTCAAAATAAATAAATATTAATACAACTAAAAACACTCACCTAAGTCATCACCCAGAATGTAAGGGATTGGAAATTTCCATCTGTATCTTTTGTCAATCAGGGCATTCCTTCCTTCCTGTTGCAGAAACAAAGGTGTTTAAAAAGCACTTTACTTGTGATCTTAAACCTAATCGTGGCTAATAAAGACACACAACAATAACCAGCTGAGACAAGCTGTCCCAACAGCCACGCATGTGATGATGTGAATGATCAGCAACGATTAAGCAACAACAACAATGAAGAAACAGCATTTCTCTTAAAAAAAAAAAAAAAAAAGAATTAAGAAAACATTTCTGTAAAAATTTAACTCACTGGAACCAAAATGTCCCCTTCAAACAGGTTGGCATCTGAACCTACAGCACAGGCACAGACACATTTTATTTAAATATCATCAGTAACTAAATACCCATTTTTTCTCAAAATTATACATATTATTTTTAAACACAGCATCGCTTGTATTGACTTGGGTCCCAGTTGGGACTTGGGATCCCTGGGTTATGGCCAGGGATCAACAGTGAAACATTGTCACTCACCCAGGTTTAAGATGGGGTTCTCATCCTCACCATTCTCATACACCTCTGTAAAACAAACACAGACACGGTTCAGAGTCTTTTCACATCTAAGAACTTTTATTTCTTCTATTAAAGGTAATTTATTTGACATACCATGTACCACAGAGGAAACTGGTAACTGCATGAAACAAAATCAGTGAAAGTTATCACACAGTTAATGGAAGAATAATGCTTACTATAGTTAATTCATTAAAATTAAATAAATACTTACAGTGTATGAAGTGGCCAGAGCCACTAGTCCAAACAATAACAGCACCCTCTCCATCATCATGCTGAATGTCACAAAGCAAACGTTGCTGTTTTGTTTAAATATGCATATTGACCAGATATGAACTTTGGTTCTGAAGTTTATGCCAGCCATAAAGAGTGACTGAAGGACTTTGACTGAGAATTGTTACTGATTGGTGGGTGGTTTGTGCATGTGTAGCAGCACTTTTCTTTTTTTTTTTACATCACCTGTGTCTGTTATCTGGCTTATTATCCAATTTTATTATAACATCTGACAGGAACCCTTATTGAATTTTTTTTTAATATCATTATTTTATTAACTCACAAAATACAAAATAGAAAAAACAAAGTACATAATAATAATTTTAAACTAATTCTAAACCACGGTACTCCCAGCCAGAAGTACTGCTGAACTTTCAGCTGGACTCCTTGTTACAACAACAAATAGACAAAAACAAATCAAAACCATAACAGCCATAGCAAAAGCAATACAAATACGAAGTAAAAGAAAGCAAAAATAAAAATGTGGTCTCTCCCTCCCAGAACCAATACTTTCGTATGAAAGTACTGGTTCTGACAAGTCTGTTGTTAAAAGTGAAGTGAGGATAAAGTCTGTCACTTTGGTTTTTCCAATGACCCACTTCAACCAGTAGATGGGTAGCCAAAATTAAATATTAGCCTTAAAAACAGGTATTTTTTGGGGGCGTGGCTGTTTGATTGATATACCTGGTCTGCAATGATTGATCAGATGACGCGGCAGGCCGGGAGGTCGATCACCGGAGGATCAGTCACCGGAGGAGAGCTTGGGTCGTGAGCGTTTCGTATTGAATTAGTTGTGATGAATATTATTTTTTCTCAATATTTGTCCGTGGAAGAATAATTTAGCACTGACAGTTTTGCTGTTAGTTATTTAGTTTTAATGAGTTTTCAGTTCACAGTAATTATGGCTCATTCTTCGTCACTAACAAACTTGAGAGATGATGATGATATACAGTTTTTTCGGTAAGTAAATGTTTGTTTTCTGAACGTCCTACAGTTTAATGTGTATGATGCTAGTAAAAAAAAGCTAGTCGTTTTTTCCCTACGTGCTTTGACCGGAGAACGGAGACAGTTAACACTTTGCTAACCTAGCTAGCTAGCTAGCGGGTAGCTTAGTGTTTGTTATGCTAACCGTACCTGGTCCCAAACATGTAAACATTTGCAGACAAGGATAAATATAGTTTAACTTATCTCACTCTCATGTTATTAGAAAAAGTCAGTCGCTGATAGAATTTTCCTACATGCAGCAAAACATTCAGGTTTATCTCATTAACTTATTTTCTGTCTCCTCTTCTCGCTGGTATCTATTGAGTACAACACACAAATGTATACTAGAACATTATCTTGTGGGGGTTTGTCATTAATACTGTAAATTCATACACAGGAGTCCTCAACTGAAGCAGGTATTCATGCACCTGTCCTCACAGCTGGTATATGTGTGTGATTAACTGTGATCCACCATGTGTGAACTAAAGTGTTTGTCTTTTACTGTCATTCAGACGGAATCCACACTGAAAACTGAATGACTGGTGCCCACAGAAGGAGGACCTCATGTAGGACAAAGGAGACTGCACGGACATCCTTAGTTCTCAAATCAGAATTCTCAGAAAAACCACTTCCAGTTCAGCTTCCTCTGATGAGAGGACAGACCAGCTGTTTAGACATTTGATGTCACTTCCTCTTCGTGATGTCAGTTAAAAGCAACAGTATATTGTTTATAGACAAAATATGTTAGTATGTTTAGTGTGACAGGGCGGGTAAATTCATTTATTACAAAAAAGTATTTTTTTGATTAAAAATAAATATCTCATGTAAATAGGGACACACATATAATCCTGACTGAATAATAAAGGATTTGATAAGAAACATTACATTTATTGCTGATATTTTAGATACAAATGTCAAAGTTGTTTCATATGGACATGTGAAAATTGCCATGTTCTAAGAAAGAAGAAATGGCTAAAAAATGGTATGTTAGTCTTTGTAAGGTAGTATATTCTCCTCTAAACATCATGGCAAGAGTACTTGACTTAATAGGTTTTTAAGATTTGGAAACCACACTTTTGCACATTTTTGTGCCATAGTGCATCTCATCTAATGTTGCAGACCCAAATGCACCTGCTTCACAGAATGACTCAGCTATCATCTATATGGGAGATATAGTGGTATAGCTTTATTGCAGATCAACTTTGTAATGCATGTACGTGTGTGTATACATGTCTTGCTATGGTTGGACAAATTTGTGTTTGAAACATCAGTGTGAGGTTATTGTGGCCAGTCGTGACAGGCTTCAAAAGCTTTTTTGAGCGGACATCCGCAGTGACCAAGAGTCAGCGCGTCAGGATAAGTCTCTAGACATGAATAAAACTGAAAGTAACGCTATTTTTGTACAGATTGAAACTGTCGAGGAATGAAGTACTGATGCACGCAGCAGCAGCGTACATCAAATTCCCAGGAGTAACTGCTTCCGAGCATGATATGCTCTTAATGTTTCTCTTCTATACCGCCGCGCAATCTTCCCATAATTATGTCATCAGTTCTGCTTCTTGTTTAACTTTCTGCACATTGATATAAAAATATGTTTCAGTCTGGGATTTTTAAAGTTGTGTTATGTCTATGGCTAATCAGCCTGCACGAACTCGTACTGCGGATTGTCGGAAGGAATAGAGAGAGCCTCCAACTCCACAAGCCGGACTATCTCTATTGGTGCGGCAATGAAATCCTGCCGAGTCATCACCACAGCTGCGGCCGTTTTAAGCATCAGCGGAAGAAGAGTTTAAGAGCCTGGCTGCACATCATTAGTGGCGGCTGACAAATGATAGGCAGCTCGCCTCTACCACGTTTGTGAACATTTGAGTTTGTGTAATATGTGAATTTTGGTTTTTAGGCATGCCTGGTAGTGATTGTTGGGGACCATAGAACCTAAAGACTGGAAGACGTTGTGCCATGACTTACTTTTATATTGCGACGCTGCTGAAACTTGAACCTGGCTCTGTGAGCCAGTAGTAAGTGAAATTTACTCCGTAAGTAAAAAATGTTCCGGGCTGTTTTATCTCTTTTCTTGCCACAAAATCAACTGCCTTGATAACTGGAATGTAAGTCCCACAGTGTCGGAAGGTTTTCCTGTTCTCAGCAAAGTGGTTTCCTACAAAAGGTTTTATATCTTGAACTGCTTCATGTAAAAACAGTGCCACATCTAACTGGCCTTGGAATGCAAAAAAATGGGCAAAAAATACAAATGTTTTCTACATCACAAAATTGAATGTAAAAAGTATAAAGCGAAAAAGCAATGATTGTATTTTGTATTCCAAGCAATAGATTTTATATAACTGTCTCAAAGCAAATCTCAAAAATGTTTGTATGCATCAAATGTGTCAATATCAAGTCAAGTTTAAAGCTCAATGTCTTTGCTTTTAACTTAAAGTGTCAAAACTAAAGTTAGATGCAATGTGGGCAAAGAACATGTTGAGCTTTACTTTTTAAATGTCATCTTTGGTGGTTGTGCTGCCTAAAGGTGCAATATAAGAATGGTCCAGAACATTAGTTTAAAAAGTTCAAAAATGAATTAACAATATCAACAGTGTGTGAAGCAGCCACAGTGACGATGTCATGATCAAGACCTCCATCTGTTCTTTTTCAGTTATCTACTGAAATGAGCACGGTAACCAGCCAGCACCGACCTTTCCTGTGTTGTAATACCACTTTGTGACACTAGAGGCTGTGTGAGTCAGTGGCGCGTCAAGTCTGCCCTCAGTCCCACGAAGAAGAACAACTTCCGGCGGAGCTTGAAGTCAGAATCACAGAAACGCAGGAATGGCTGAACCTCCTAAAAGGTAATATTCATCTATATCCCGCAGGACCGCTCCCGACAAGAAACCACGTTTAACAGCAAAGAAAGGAAGCGACACGAGTAAATCTCGTCGTGGCTTTCCACCGCTGGAGACGGCTCCTGAGAGTAAAGAGATGCGGTTCGATGCCGAGCTCGCAACTTTCCTGTTAGCCAGGTGAGTAGTATCACGGTTGGCTCTTTAGCTAAAAGTATAATCGGTGCAACGACTCACAAACCGTACCGACAAAAACATTTCAGGTGGTGATATTGACGTTGTCGACAGACGTTTTAGCGGTTACAAGAGGTTGTAACTGATGACTGTAAATTGAGATTGTATGGACCAGTAGACCGACTGAATACACGTCGATCGGTTCAACATGTTGTAACCACTTTACATTACTGTTACTCCGGAGATTTCAGCATACCTGTCTTTATCAGGACCTGAGCCAGTACAGATGCAATACCGCCTGTCTCACCAACGGCAGAGTCCAGACAGTGAGGAGCGTCTAGGTGAATAACATGCTATCATTCACTTAAAAGTAAGACTTGTTTATACCACTGATTAAATCAGACTCCCAGTGTATACACGTCCATACGGTTGATTCTTAATAATGAATATACCACTGACTATATTGGTTATGTATTTTACAGTATATCCATATTTGTACTACTGAATATGTTGGTTATATAGTGTGTGTACATTGAATTCTTATCATACCTCTAGCTGTTTACCCTTCATTTACATTTCATAATATTCATACTGTTACTAGTGTTCACATTGTATATATCAGAATATTCATACTGTCTTTATTTTCTTGCATATTCATATCTCTGCTCACAATTTATTATACTCACACAACAGATCTAACATGTTTGAATATAAAGAACTTGTATGATCTAAAGGAATTGTCCTATCACATGTTTGTCTGTATCAGGACCAGAAGTCCAGTCTAATCATCACCAATGATGGACCAGCACCAGCCTTTTCTTCTGCATCTGGCCTCAGCAATCAACCACATTACATCAACACCTTGAGGTATTATCCCTGCACATGACAGATATTGTCTATACTGTGATGTTCTGCACATTCCCTAATCAATACCTTTTGCACATCTTGCCCAGCAGGAGTTTTGTGTAAAACACCTTTGTACATAGTTGTGTGGTATTGTTTTTATATATGGATATTTTGACTGTCGCAGAAT